TTATTATCATTTCTTTTTTCTCACTGCAAAAAGCAGTTCATCATTATAATCACAGTACAAGCCCAGGTGCACACACAGAGAGAGTCTCCAACAACACATACACACAATACTCCATGGCTCTAGTTTATGTATAAAATCACTGCACACACACACACACATCTGTGTGTACTAGCAAGAGATGTATACCGTCAGTGAGCAGAGCAGCCCAGTTTTCTGCACACATACAACGGGAAAAGCAAGTAATGGAATTATTAGAAAAAGAACACACACACACACAAAAGTAAAAGAAAAGTAATTCGAATTAAAAGAGAAAACTGGTAAACGGATTATTAATTTATTCACCCATGGGGATATAAGCAAATATGATTATGTTAGGATAACCATTATTTTTCTTTGACCTCAGATGATTCCCACTGTTCAGTACACAGTAAAGAAGAACAACACAACCACAATCAGTAGCGGAGCTGCAGTGTCCATCTAAACATCTGTGTGTACTAGCAAGAGATGTATACCGTCAGTGAGCAGAACAGTCCAGTGTTCTGCACACATTCAACGGAAAAAGCAAGTAATGGAATTATTAGAAAAATGAACACACACACACAAAAAAAAGTAAAAGTAATTCGAATTAAAAGAGAAAGCTGGTAAACGGATTTTTGGTTCATTCACCCATGGGGATGTACGCAAATATAATTATGTTAGTATAACCATTATTATAATTTTTCCTCAGATGAGTTCCATCGTTCAGTACACGGCAGCGGAGAACAACACAACCACAATCAGTAGTGGTACACGCACCCACACAGAACTCATACTGCTGCTGTCTGCCTTACGCTTCTTGGGTGGTAGTTTGTCTTCGCTCTTCGCAGGCATAGGAGGTTGCAGTATTGTTGGCATTGCGGGTGACGTCACCTTAGTGGGTGTATTGGGGGTGTTCCTTATTGATTCACTCTGTGCAGAAGTACCACTCACCTCATTAGGTGAAGGTGCTGCAGTATTGTCTGCCTGATTACCATTCTCATGATGAGTGCTTGTTGACGTTTCTCCACCACTTTGGGAAACCTCAGGAATAGGAGGAGGAGGAATAGGACCAGAGCGACGATTACGAGCAACAGTAGGAGGCCCAACAGTAACCTTAGCAGCTTCAGGCACACCAGGTAATGCCTTAGAAGCAGTATCGGTGTGAGTAACATTAGGATGAACACCAGGAAATCCAGGAACTACACCATCACCAACACCAGGGTGAGAACCAGGTGACGTAGGAGGAGGTGTTGGAACAACATTACCGGGTATGCCAGGACCATCACACGAATGGCCTTCTTTAGGGCAAGAAAACACAGGAACAGGGTGAGACCCCAATTTATTTCCTTTAACATCAGTACCATGGTGAGACATGTGTTCTTTAACACGAGATAGGTTCCCTTGTGTTGCAATAACTTCATTGGGAGCCTTCTGTGGATTTGCTTCAGCACCAACGTCAGATGTACCACGTGTACTGAGGTCAGAAGAAGCGGTACTTTTAGGAAGAGTAATACCAGCCATATCAGGGCCACCATACACAATATCTTTAGTCTCTGGAGTAGCGGGAACACATGGAGCCTCATCAGTACTAGTAACTCCAGCTTTACAAGGAAGGCATGGCATAACCTTACCGTCTTTGAGAGGACAACCGGTCTTATTATCAACCTGAACACCGGGAATGCCAGCTCCTGGATAAGGCCTTCCAAGAGCATTCTGAGGACCAGGACCAACGCCACCAGGAACAGCACCATCAGAGCTTACGCGGTCAGAACCAGGAGCACCAGAAGCGGACTTAGGACCAGTGCTACCAATCCCATACCCAGCAGCTTTAATTTCAGTGGAAGGTTTTTGTGGATCAGCTGCTGCAGTCACACATCCACAGGCGCAGCACAACATAAGACCCAGTAAACACAGCGTGCGATGCATCATTTCCCCCATAGTCATAAAAGTGATTCTGGGTTTCACTTAAAAGCAATGAACTAAAAAACAGAAAAACAATATGAGAGATCAAAATTGTAATCCAAACACAGTAAAATACAATGAAACACAATAGTGTAAAAATAAAAAACCAAACCAGTTACAGAAAACAAAACAGCAAAGTAAACTCAGTCAAAATGAAAAATAAAAATAATTTAAAAGCACAACGAATGCCCAATAAACATACAATAACACAGAAGAGTGGGTATGCTGGTGCCCATAAGCAATAATTAAATTCTGTCTAACACATACTGTTTTTTTTCCTTTCTCTATTCAAACTAGATCATCATAAAAACCGTACAGGACAATGCACACAACGCCCCAGCAAACCAATAGCAAACAAAAAGATACTAACCATTAGCCCAATTTACCTAGTAAACACAGAAATACACACCAACTATGGGTGTAAGTCTATATGTATGTGTATGTAAGCAATTATAAATATAAATTCATCTGTTATTATTATTTCTTGTTTTTCCCACTGCAAAAAAACAGATCATCATCATTATCACAGTGCAAAACCAATCACAGAGTCTCCAAGAACGTACACACACACAACGGAGTAGTAGCAATAATAATAATTATAGGATAAACACACAGAGAGAGCAAAAACACACACAAAACACATTAACATTAAGAAACAAAAAAACAAAAAGAAATCCCAACAGGTGGAAGATTAGTTAGACTGTAGGGATGCGTGCAAAAAAAGAAAAAGAAAACATAGGATGACCTGAGTCACACCATCACCATCACTACAATCAGCATACAAGAATACAGGACAGTGTAACCACAATCAGTAGTGGTACACGCACCCACACAGAACTGCTGATACTGCTGCTGCTGTCTGCATCACCCTTCTTGTTATTTGCAGTCTCAGGAGGAAGTGTTGTTGTTATGGTGGTGGTGGTGGTTGAATCAGCATTGCCATTCTCCCGTGAACCTTCTGTGCCAGTCGTATCTGCAGCTGCAGTAGCCTGATTACCGGGATTACTTTCACCACCTTCATTTACACTTTCCGGCTGAGTTTGTGGGTTGGTGTTGTTGGAACCAACGTCTCCAGATGAGGTTGTGCCTTCAGTCGAAGCAGTTGCCTCTCCTTCCGTTGTGTTTTGTTGTGGTCTCTGTGAGTCTACATTACCTGCTGTGGATGACGTATTGCCTTGGCCTTCACTTCCTGCTGGTAGACTGACATTATCTGTGCCCCCAGGATTAAGATCGGGTTGTGGTTGTAGTTCCTGTTGTGGTGGTAGTGCTGGATTTAGTTCTGCTGGTTGTTTTACAGAAGGACAAGTACCTTCATGAGTACGAGAAGTTTCACCAGGAGGGCACTCCAAAGTTTCAACAACTCGTTCACTTTTCTCAACAGGAGGAGTACATTTACCTTGAGCACCTTCAGGAGTACCAGGAGGGCACAGAGAACCATCAGCACCAAGGACAGGTTTCTCAAGAAGAGAATTACATTCACCCGTTTTACCAGTAGTACCATTAGTGCACACCGAAGCAACACCACTACCTTCACGTTGCACAACTGGAAGAGCACAATCAGCAGAAGTACCAGTAGGAACACCATCAGCGCACTGAGTACCATGATTAATAATCTTTGTTTCACTCTCCGTATCAGGGACTTGGTCGGAAAGATCGGCGGCAGGCACTTCTTCAGCGAGGACGTGCACACACGCACATGAGAGCAGGAGAGCGAGGATACACAGCACGTAGCGCATCATTACCATTACAATACTTCTTGCAGTAGTCTTACTTCAATCGCTTACAGAAAAACAAAACAGAAACAAAGTTAATCAATGTACACAAGAAAATAAGAGCACATACCAAATCAAACAACAATCAATAATTAAAACAGAAGCACACACATAACAGAAAACTGCAACCATAACTCAGAAAGTACCCCAATTAAAGTAAAAACACACACAATACCCAATAACAAACAGATAATCCCAATAAACCCCTCAAAAGAAAAAAGAAATTAAAGAGTACAACCATCAAAAGTAGACAGCACAGAAATACATAACAGTGTCTCTTCTGGCCGAACCAAGCACAATTACAAATATATACTTATGTATTCCTTATTATTTTTTCGCCCCACTCAAAACACTCCAACAGACAACATTGCAGGAAAAAGCACACAGTGCCCAAGCAAAGAAAATAAACAAAAAACACAAATTAAGAACAGGACCAATCACACAAAAATAACTCACAGACCACTGAATATGCTGCTGTGTTCAATTAATTACGAATACAAATTGTATTAACTACTATTTTTTCCTTTGCTCTTATAAAACAGACTACCAAAAACCGTGCAGGGCAAAAGCACACAATGACCCAGCAAAACCACTAGAAAAGAAACAGATATTAACCATTAGCCCAACATACCCCAGTAAACATAGAAATATACACCAACTATGGGTATAAGTCTATATGTGTATATATACGCAATTATAAATATAAATTCATCTGTTATTATTATTTCTTTTTCCCATTACAAAAAGCAGTTCATCATTATCATAGTACAGGGGCAGGCACACACAAAGAGAGAGTCTCCAAGAATACACACAATACCCAATGACTCTATGTATTAAATTACTGCACACACACATCTGTGTACTAGCAAGAGATGTATACCGTCAGTGAGCAGAACAGCCCAGTTTTCTACCCACACACACAACGGAAAAAGCAAGTAATGAAATTATTAGAAAAAGAACACACACACGCACACATAAAAGTAAAAAGAAAAAGATATTCCAATTAAAAGAGAAAGCTGGTAAACAGATTATTAGTTCATTCACCCATGAGGGATGTACGCAATTATGATTATATTAGAATAACCATTATTATTTGTCCTCAGATAATTCCCACCGTTCAGTACATGGTAACGGAGAACAACATAGCCACAATCAACAGCGGTGCTGCATTGCGCATCCACACAGGACTGACACTGCTATCAGCATTAGCTTTGTTCTTCTGTACTGTGGAGGCGATGTTGCTGCTGATCTCTGTGTTGGGTACAGGAACAGGAGATGGAGTGGTGGTTGGTGCTTCAGTGACATTGTTCTCGGGACTAGCCGGAGTAGTGGTATTTGTTTCGTGTGAGTTTGGTGCGGCAGTCACATCATCAGTTGCAGTAGATTGCTGATTAAGATTAGAGTCACGAGAAGGAGTCGCGGTTGATTCTTCACTGGCAGTATTTGCGGGGCTCGGCTGAGAAGTGGTGTCGTTTTCGTTGGAGCTTTCTGTGGCAGTGGGAACTGCAGCTGCAGGAGATTGCTCTGTAGGATTAGAGTTGCCAGGTGTATTGATATCCCTTGCGTTATTCGACGTTTCTTCGTCACCTTGGGAAGGTGCAGCAGACTCTTGAGTTTGCCTTTGTGAATCACGTTCCGAGGAAGGATCTTTCGGTGAGTTATCACTTTCAGCACGAACAACTTCTCTCGCTCCCACTTCCGCTTCTGTATTTAATTCACTACTTCCACCTTCTCTCTCATGACCACTACTGCCTGGTCTACCAGGACCACTCACTACCGCATTTTTACCAGTTGAATCTGGTGCTCTTGCACTTCCACTGGGAGCCTGTTTTGAAGGGTTAGGATTACCAGATGGATTCCAGACACTACAACCCATTACAAATGTCGTCTCACCAGTACTACCTTTACACTTATTTTCATGGTTTTCTTGTTCAAGAAAATCATCCCATGTCCAAGGTCCAGAAGCCCTTCGTGCCGTTGTCAGTCCAGCATTAGTAGTAGGAGTAGGAGTACTACTAGCAATGATTGCCGTCCTTGTTGTCGTTGTTGCTGCTGTTGTTGCGGTACGCTGGCGGCAGAGGTCTGCGTACTTCCCACATGCAGACACACGGCTGCCCGCACTGCATGTAAGCCACTCGCTCTCAGCAGCGGGGCGTACACGCAGCGCACCGCCGGCCCCGCACGACACCTCCACAGCCCCACGGGA